TGCGGGTGCTGCTGCTGCTGCGGGTGCTGCGGGTGCTGCTGCTGCTGCGGGTGCTGCTGCTGCGGGTGCTGCTGCTGCTGCTGCGGGTGCTGCTGCTGCTGCTGCGGGTGCTGCGGGTGCTGCTGCTGCTGCTGCGGGTGCTGCTGCTGCTGCGGGTGCTGCCCGCTTGCCACGAGGACCCCCGTGTCGCCCAGCGGCGGTTGAGGCTGGCCGATTTTGAGACTCCACGTGCGTGTGTGTGTTTCACACTCCACGTGTGTGTGTGTTTCACACTCCACGTGTGTGTGTGATTCACACTCCACGTGTGTGTGTGTGATTCACACTCCACGTGTGTGTTTCACACTCCACGTGTGTGTTTGACACTCCACGTGTGTGTGTGTGATTCACACTCCACGTGTGTGTTTCACACTCCACGTGTGTGTTTGACACTCCACGTGTGTGTGTGTTTCACACTCCACGTGCGTGTTTCACAGTCCACGTGTGTGTTTGTGTTTCACACTCCACGTGCGTGCGTGTTTCACACTCCACGTGTGTGTGTTTCACACTCCACGTGCGTGTTTCACACTCCACGTGTGTGTGTGTTTCACACTCCACGTGTGTGTGTGATTCACACTCCACGTGTGTGTGTGTGATTCACACTCCACGTGTGTGTTTCACACTCCACGTGTGTGTTTGACACTCCACGTGTGTGTGTGTGATTCACACTCCACGTGTGTGTTTCACACTCCACGTGTGTGTTTGACACTCCACGTGTGTGTGTGTGATTCACACTCCACGTGTGTGTTTCACACTCCACGTGTGTGTTTGACACTCCACGTGTGTGTGTGTTTCACACTCCATGTGCGTGTTTCACAGTCCACGTGTGTGTGTGTGTTTCACACTCCACGTGCGTGCGTGTTTCACACTCCACGTGTGTGTGTGTTTCACACTCCACGTGCGTGTTTCACACTCCACGTGTGTGTGTGTTTCACACTCCACGTGCGTGTTTCACACTCCACGTGTGTGTGTTTCACACTCCACGTGCGTGTTTCACACTCCACGTGTGTGTGTGTTTCACACTCCACGTGCGTGTTTCACACTCCACGTGTGTGTGTTTCACACTCCACGTGTGTGTTTCACACTCCACGTGCGTGTTTTACACTCCACGTGTGTGTGTGTTTCACACTCCACGTGTGTGTGTTTCACACTCCACGTGCGTGTTTCACACTCCACGTGTGTGTGTGTTTCACACTCCACGTGCGTGTTTCACACTCCACGTGTGTGTGTTTCACACTCCACGTGCGTGTTTCACACTCCACGTGTGTGTGTTTCACACTCCACGTGTGTGTTTCACACTCCACGTGTGTGTGTGTTTCACACTCCACGTGTGTGTGTTTCACACTCCACGTGCGTGTTTCACACTCCACGTGTGTGTGGTTCACACTCCACGTGCGTGTTTCACACTCCACGTGTGTGTGTTTCACACTCCACGTGCGTGTTTCACACTCCACGTGTGTGTGTTTCACACTCCACGTGCGTGTTTCACACTCCACGTACGTGTTTCACACTCCACGTGTGTGTGTTTCACACTCCACGTGCGTGTTTCACACTCAACGTGTGTGTGTGTTTCACACTCCACGTGCGTGTTTCACAGTCCACGTGTGTGTGTGTGTTTCACACTCCACGTGCGTGTTTCACACTCCACGTGTGTGTGTGTGTTTCACACTCCACGTGCGTGTTTCACACTCAACGTGTGTGTGTGTTTCACACTCCACGTGCGTGTTTCACACTCCACGTGTGTGTGTGTGTTTCACACTCCACGTGCGTGTTTCACACTCCACGTGTGTGTGTGTTTCACACTCCACGTGCGTGTTTCACACTCCACGTGTGTGTGTTTCACACTCCACGTGCGTGTTTCACAGTCCACGTGTGTGTGTGTTTCACACTCCACGTGCATGTTTCACAGTCCACGTGTGTGTGTGTGTTTCACACTCCACGTGCGTGTTTCACACTCCACGTGTGTGTGTGTTTCACACTCCACGTGCGTGTTTCACACTCCACGTGTGTGTGTTTCACACTCCACGTGCGTGTTTCACACTCCACGTGCGTGTGTGTTTCACACTCCACGTGCGTGTTTCACACTCCACGTGTGTGTGTTTCACACTCCACGTGTGTGTGTTTCACACTCCACGTGCGTGTTTCACACTCCACGTGTGTGTGTTTCACACTCCACGTGCGTGTTTCACACTCCACGTGTGTGTGTGTTTCACACTCCACGTGCGTGTTTCACAGTCCACGTGTGTGTGTATCACACTGCACGTGTTTCACACTCAACGTGTGCGTGTTTCACACTCCACGTGTTTCACACTCCACGTGTGTGTGCGTGTTTCACACCCCACGTGTGTGTGTGTGTTCGATGTCCTTTCGATGACGATCGTCGTGGTTTACCTCCTAACGGGGTGGTGGGCTCCAAGAACGCTGCCATCTCATAACCCAGAGGCTAAATACGGCGGAGACACGGTGAGGGGGCCAAGTGGAATTCAATCTCCTTTGAAAAAGCGACTTTGAGCGTGCACGGTGGGACAACGCAGAGTTTCATCTGCACGGAACACCTCCGGTCCTGGGTTCTGCGGAGCATCTACGTCGGATCGTGGGAAGCAGAATCAGCTTCTTCCACCTCCACACCTGAGAACGCAGCACCCCACTCCGGGCCCTCTTGACGACGCCTCGACAAGCAGCCACGGCCACTTGCGTCTCTCTCTGCTCCCATATCTCGAAATCGTTTCCAGACCGCTGCTATGTAACCACGTTTCTCATGTTATATTGCCACATGCTTTCACATGTTCAACATCGCCACAAAATGAATTCCCCCCCTCCCCTCAAGTTTCCCTCTTGGGGAGGGCAAAGTTAACACTACCCCTCATTCACAGGATTCTTTAATTTATTTTAACACTGGCATTAAACATTTTCATACTGTTCTTTTATCTAGTATCAATATCTATTCTTCCTTTTCAGGTGACATTTAAAAGTGTATTTTTTTACTAAAGAGAAACGAGTAAAAATAATGTTTACGTTTGCTAAAGGAGGCAGCTGTGATATTGTTTTCAAGTCCTGAATTCCGCACAAAAGAGAATTCACGCGTGCATTCATGTGTGGAAGTCAGTTTGAACACGTGCTAAACTACATTAAATAACCCTCCGTGATCTGGTAAAAACAAATATAATAACCCTGCATTGTCCGACTTTCGGGGCCACCCTGCGTGTGTGTGCGTCCAATGTTCGCTCACGCGTGGCCAATGTCGAGGTCAGGGCGGGGAATTGAGGTTGTTCTTCTCTCTCGGCACCTGCGGCTTGGCGGTGCTCCGGCCGGGACGAAGAGTCGCGGTGGAGGAGGCCCGCACGGCTGACGAGACCACGTGGTGGTGGTGGTGGTGGTCACCGCGTGGTGGTGGTGGTGGTGGTCACCGCGTGGTGGTGGTGGTGGCCACCACGTGGTGGTGGTGGTCACCGCGTGGTGGTGGTCACCGCGTGGTGGTGGTGGTGGTCACCGCGTGGTGGTGGTGGTGGTCACCGCGTGGTGGTGGTGGTGGTCACCGCGTGGTGGTGGTGGTCACCGCGTGGTGGTGGTGGTGGTCACCGCGTGGTGGTGGTGGTCACCGCGTGGTGGTGGTCACCGCGTGGTGGTGGTGGTCACCGCGTGGTGGTGGTGGTGGTCACCGCGTGGTGGTGGTGGTGGTCACCGCGTGGTGGTGGTGGTGGTCACCGCGTGGTGGTGGTGGTGGTCACCGCGTGGTGGTGGTGGCCACCACGTGGTGGTGGTGGTGGTCACCGCGTGGTGGTGGTGGTCACCGCGTGGTGGTGGTGGTGGTCACCGCGTGGTGGTGGTGGCCACCGCGTGGTGGTGGTGGCCACCACGTGGTGGTGGTGGTCACCGCGTGGTGGTGGTGGTCACCGCGTGGTGGTGGTGGTGGTGGTCACCGCGTGGTGGTGGTGGTGGCCACCACGTGGTGGTGGTGGTCACCGCGTGGCCTCCCCAGACGGTCATTGTTGGTCTGGAGACGTTGGCCCGATGGACACAAAATGTAGAACTCGATTTAGTGTGGAACACGAGTCACTGGTGTACAGAGTGGAGTCTAAGTGTGATGTAGAGTGGAGTGTAGTGTAATGTAGTGTAATGTAGAGTGGTGTGTAGTGTAATGTAGTGTGTAGTGTAATGTAGAGTGGTGTAATGTAGTGTAATGTAGAGTGGTGTAATGTAGTGTAATGTAGAGTAGTGTGTAGTATAATGTAGAGTAGTGTGTAGTGTAATGTAGAGTAGTGTGTAGTGTAATGTAGAGTGGTGTGTAGTGTAATGTAGAGTGGTGTAATGTAGTGTAATGTAGAGTGGTGTGTAGTGTAATGTAGAGTAGTGTGTAGTGTAATGTAGAGTGGTGTGTAGTGTAATGTAGAGTAGTATGTAGTGTAATGTAGAGTGGTGTGTAGTGTAATGTAGAGTGGTGTGTAGTGTAATGTAGAGTGGTGTGTAGTGTAATGTAGAGTAGTGTGTAGTGTAATGTAGAGTGGTGTGTAGTGTAATGTAGAGTAGTGTGTAGTGTGATGTAGAGTGGTGTGTAGTGTAATGTAGAGTAGTGTGTAGTGTAATGTAGAGTGGTGTGTAGTGTAATGTAGAGTAGTGTGTAGTGTAATGTAGAGTGGTGTGTAGTGTAATGTAGAGTAGTGTGTAGTGTAATGTAGAGTGGTGTGTAGTGTAATGTAGAGTAGTGTGTAGTGTAATGTAGAGTGGTGTGTAGTGTAATGTAGAGTAGTGTGTAGTGTAATGTAGAGTAGTGTGTAGTGTAATGTAGAGTGGTGTGTAGTGTAATGTAGAGTAGTATGTAGTGTAACAAAATAAATAGTTAAAAGGACGCGGCTATTATTTATTTATTTCCGCGTGGAGCAGCAGCGGCAGGAGGAGGAGGAGGGAGCGGGAGGAGCCATTTTGTAGCTGAGGAGCGAAGAGAGACGCGGAGAGACGAGGAGCGAGGAGTGGGGAGGAGGAGGCGAGGGAGGAGGAGGAGAACAGCGAGAAGGCGAGAGGAGTCGAGGAGGAGGAGAAGAGGAACGAGAGAGACGCGGAGAGGAGCGACGGAGCGAGGAGTGAGAGGATTGGGCGCAGGGGCCGAGCCCGCGGACTCGCGGGGCCCGGGGCGACGCGGGGCGCAGCGGCGGCGGCGACGCCTTTCCATGGGTGCGTAGGGCGCCGTGGGGGGCCGTAGGGCGCCGTGGGGCTGCGTAGGGGGCTGTGGGGGGCAGTGGGAGACGGTGGTTTGGGGTCGTGCCAGAGACGCGGCGACCCCCCCCGCCTCCTCCTCGCCTCGGCAACCGCGAGACGAGTAGAGAGTTGCAGAGACGTGGACAGGAGCGTGGGGGGGTGAGAGACGTGGTGCATGGTGCTAGTGACGTGCCGTGTGCTAGAGACGTGTGCTAGTGACGTGTGCTAGAGACGTGTGCTAGTGACGTGTGCTAGAGACGTGTGCTAGAGACGTGTGCTAGTGACGTGACGTGTGCTAGTGACGTGCCGTGTGCTAGAGACGTGTGCTAGAGACGTGTGCTAGTGACGTGCCGTGTGCTAGTGCCGTGTGCTAGTGACGTGTGCTAGAGACGTGTGCTAGTGCCGTGTGCTAGTGACGTGCCGTGTGCTAGAGACGTGCCGTGTGCTAGTGACGTGCCGTGTGCTAGAGACGTGTGCTAGAGACGTGTGCTAGTGACGTGCCGTGTGCTAGTGACGTGTGCTAGAGACGTGTGCTAGTGACGTGCCGTGTGCTAGTGACGTGTGCTAGTGACGTGCCGTGTGCTAGTGACGTGTGCTAGTGACGTGCCGTGTGCTAGTGACGTGTGTTAGAGACGTGTGCTAGAGACGTGTGCTAGTGACGTGTGCTAGTGACGTGTGCTAGAGACGTGTGCTAGTGACGTGCCGTGTGCTAGAGACGTGACGTGTGCTAGTGCCGTGTGCTAGTGACGTGACGTGTGCTAGTGACGTGCTGTGTGCTAGAGACGTGCCGTGTGCTAGAGACGTGACGTGTGCTAGTGCCGTGTGCTAGTGACGTGACGTGTGCTAGTGAAGTGCCGTGTGCTAGTGAAGTGCCGTGTGCTAGTGACGTGTGCTAGTGCCGTGTGCTAGTGACGTGACGTGTGCTAGTGACGTGCCGTGTGCTAGTGACGTGCCGTGTGCTAGAGACGTGCCGTGTGCTAGAGACGTGCCGTGTGCTAGTGACGTGCCGTGTGCTAGTGACGTGCCGTGTGCTAGAGACGTGACGTGTGCTAGAGACGTGCCGTGTGCTAGAGACGTGCTAGTGACGTGACGTGTGCTAGAGACGTGACGTGTGCTAGAGACGTGCCGGGTGCTAGTGACGTGACGTGTGCTAGAGACGTGCCGTGTGCTAGTGACGTGCCGTGTGCTAGTGACGTGCCGTGTGCTAGTGACGTGCCGTGTGCTAGTGACGTGACGTGTGGTAGTGACGTGACGTGTGCTAGTGACGTGCCGTGTGCTAGAGACGTGCCGTGTGCTAGTGACGTGACGTGTGCTAAAGACGTGCCGTGTGCTAGTGACGTGCCGTGTGCTAGTGACGTGCCGTGTGCTAGTGACGTGCCGTGTGCTAAAGACGTGCCGTGTGCTAGTGACGTGCTGTGTGACGTGCCGTGTGCTAGAGACGTGACGTGTGCTAGAGACGTGTGCTAGAGACGTGCCGTGTGCTAGTGACGTGCTGTGTGACGTGCCGTGTGCTAGAGACGTGCCGTGTGCTAGAGACGTGCCGTGTGCTAGAGACGTGCCGTGTGCTAGAGACGTGTGCTAGAGACGTGCCGTGTGCTAGTGACGTGCTGTGTCACGTGCCGTGTGCTAGAGACGTGACGTGTGCTAGAGACGTGTGCTAGAGACGTGCCGTGTGCTAGTGACGTGCCGTGTGCTAGAGACGTGCCGTGTGCTAGTGACGTGCCGTGTGCTAGTGACGTGACGTGTGGTAGTGACGTGACGTGTGCTAGAGACGTGCCGTGTGCTAGTGACGTGCCGTGTGCTAGAGACGTGACGTGTGCTAGAGACGTGCCGTGTGCTAGAGACGTGTGCTAGAGACGTGTGCTAGAGACGTGTGCTAGAGACGTGTGCTAGAGACGTGCCGTGTGCTAGTGACGTGCCGTGTGCTAGAGACGTGCCGTGTGCTAGAGACGTGACGTGTGCTAGTGACGTGACGTGTGGTAGTGACGTGACGTGTGCTAGAGACGTGCCGTGTGCTAGTGACGTGCCGTGTGCTAGAGACGTGACGTGTACTAGTGACGTGCCGTGTGCTAGTGACGTGCCGTGTGCTAAAGACGTGCCGTGTGCTAGTGATGTGCTGTGTGACGTGCCGTGTGCTAGAGACGTGACGTGTGCTAGAGACGTGTGCTAGAGACGTGCCGTGTGCTAGTGACGTGCCGTGTGCTAGTGACGTGCTGTGTGACGTGCCGTGTGCTAGAGACGTAACGTGTGCTAGAGACGTGTGCTAGTGACGTGACGTGTGCTAGAGACGTGCTGTGTGACGTGCCGTGTGCTAGAGACGTGTGCTAGTGACGTGCCGTGTGCTAGAGACGTGCCGTGTGCTAGTGACGTGCCGTGTGCTAAAGACGTGCCGTGTGCTAGTGACGTGCTGTGTGACGTGCCGTGTGCTAGAGACTTGACGTGTGCTAGAGACGTGTGCTAGAGACGTGCCGTGTGCTAGTGACGTGCCGTGTGCTAGAGACGTGCCGTGTGCTAGAGACGTGCTGTGTGACGTGCCGTGTGCTGCTAGAGACGTGACGTGTGCTGTGTGACGTGCCGTGTGCTAGAGACGTGACGTGTGCTAGAGACGTGCCGTGTGCTAGAGACGTGCCGTGTGCTAGAGACGTGCTGTGTGACGTGCCGTGTGCTGCTAGAGACGTGACGTGTGCTAGAGACGTGCCGTGTGCTAGTGACGTGCCGTGTGCTAGAGACGTGCCGTGTGCTAGTGACGTGCTGTGTGACGTGCCGTGTGCTAGAGACTTGACGTGTGCTAGAGACGTGTGCTAGAGACGTGCCGTGTGCTAGTGACGTGCCGTGTGCTAGTGACGTGCCGTGTGCTAGAGACGTGCCGTGTGCTAGAGACGTGCTGTGTGACGTGCCGTGTGCTGCTAGAGACGTGACGTGTGCTAGAGACGTGCCGTGTGCTAGAGACGTGCCGTGTGCTAGTGACGTGCCGTGTGCTAGAGACGTGACGTGTGCTAGTGACGTGACGTGTGCTAGTGACGTGCCGTGTGCTAGAGACGTGCCGTGTGCTAGAGACGTGCCGTGTGCTAGAGACGTGCCGTGTGCTGCTAGAGACGTGACGTGTGCTAGTGACGTGACGTGTGCTAGTGACGTGACGTGTGCTAGTGACGTGCCGTGTGCTAGAGACGTGCCGTGTGCTAGAGACGTGCCGTGTGCTAGAGACGTGCCGTGTGCTAGAGACGTGTGCTAGAGACGTGCCGTGTGCTAGTGACGTGCCGTGTGCTAGTGACGTGCCGTGTGCTAGTGACGTGACGTGTGCTAGAGACGTGCCGTGTGCTAGTGACGTGACGTGTGCTAGAGACACGTGCTAGAGACGTGCCGTGTGCTAGTGACGTGCCGTGTGCTAGTGAAGTGCCGTGTGCTAGTAACGTGCTGTGTGCTAGTGACGTGCCGTGTGACGTGACGTGTGCTAGTGACGTGTGCTAGTGCCGTGTGCTAGTGCCGTGTGCTAGAGACACGTGGTCCAGGCCGTGTCACGCACTGTCTGTGTACAGTGCATATTTGGCGCGCAGGCCTGCGGTGAATGTCAATTGCACTGTAGTAGCAGCAGTAGCAGCAGCAGTCGTAGTAGCAGCAGTCGTAGTAGTATCACCAGTAGCAGCAGCTGTAGCAGCAGCAGTATCAGCAGTAGTAGTAGCAGCAGCAGGCAGCAGCAGTAGTAGTAGCAGTAGTTGCAAGAGCAGCAGTAGTAGCAGCAGCAGTAGTAGTAGCAGCAGCGGCAGCAGCAGCTGTATCAGTAGTAGTAGTAGCAGCAGCAGTAGTAGCAGTGACAGCAGCGGTGTCGGCTTTGTTACTTCTGCTGAGCCACTGACGCAGCTCCCCGCATTCCTGCTCCACGAGTCTCTCACCCACACAGACACTCACCCACACGGACACTCACCCACACGGACACTCACCCACACGTACACTCACGTACACTCACCCACACGGACACTCACCCACACGTACACTCACGTACACTCACCCACACGGACACTCACCCACACAGACACTCACCCACACGTACACTCACGTACACTCACCCACACAGACACTCACATGTACACTCACCCACACAGACACTCACCCACACAGACACTCACCCACACAGACACTCACCCACACGTACACTCACGTACACTCACCCACACAGACACTCACATGTACACTCACCCACACAGACACTTACCCACACAGACACTCACCCACACAGACACTCACCCACACGGACACTCACCCACACGGACAGGCACTCTCACAGACACTCACCCCCACGTACACTCACCCACACAGACACTCACCCCCACGGACAGGCACTCTCACACACACTCACCCCCACGTACACTCACCCACACAGACACTCACCCCCACAGACACTCACCCCCACAGACACTCACCCACAAGTACACTCTCACACACACTCACCCCCACGTACACTCACCCACACAGACACTCACCCCCACAGACACTCACCCACACAGACACTCACCAAACAGACACTCACCCCCACAGACACTCACCCACACAGACATTCACCCACAAGTACACTCACACGTACACTCACCCACACAGACACTCACCCACACAGACACTCACCCACACAGACAGGCATTCTCACACACACTCACCCTCACGTACACTCACCCCCACAGACACTCACCCCCACAGACACTCACCCACACAGACACTCACCCACAAGTACACTCACACGTACACTCACCCACACAGACACTCACCCCCACAGACACTCACCCACACAGACACTCACCCACAGACACTCACCCACACAGACACTCACCCACACAGACACTCACCCACACAGACAGGCATTCTCACACACACTCACCCCCACGTACACTCACCCCCACAGACACTCACCCCCACAGACACTCACCCACACAGACACTCACCCACACAGACACTCACCCACAAGTACACTCACACGTACATTCACCCACACAGACACTCACCCACACAGACACTCACCCACACAGACACTCACCCACAAGTACACTCACACACACAGATACCCCACACGGACAGACACTCTCACACACACGTGTACACTTCCACAGACACTCTCACGGACACCCTCACGCTCTCGCCGAAGCTCCTTCACTCGGATGGAAGTTTGTGTTGTTGTTTGTGGTGTTGTTTGTGGTGTTGTTGTTGTTCTACGCGCGGTGGCCATTCGTGACGACCTCTGACTAACTGCGGCTGCAGGAGTCTGCGTGCAGCGCGTGGTGTGATCTCGAGTGGTGGAGTTGTCGTGGAGAGCGAGCGGTGTGCTGCAGCACAGTCTCCACGTACACTCACACGTAATTGCGAAATATTTGGTCAGATATCGGCACAAAGTGGATTCGTGAATCCATCTGTGCGGACTTAAAACTAAATCTCATGTGCTCGGGTTTCCTGCGCGTCCTCTGGCTTCCTCTCGTGCCAAACACCCCGCTACGTTTGGCGCTGTGCCCTGCTGAAGCAGAAGAGTGCCGAGACTCTCCCACAACAACACGTGTGTGTGTACAACAACACACACGTGTGTGTGTACAACAACACACGTGTGTGTGTACAACAACACGTGTGTGTGTACAACAACACGTGTGTGCGCAACAACACACGTTGTTGTTGCACACACACGTGATGCCACGTGCTGCCTATGGGTTGTGATGCCGCTGTCTCTGCTGCTGCAGGGCATGGGAGCAGCTGCTACTGGCGCTGCAGACGCAGCGGGGCCACACGGACGGGCATGCCGTGCCCTCTCCCTCGGCTGCGGGACGCCTCCTCACTCACCTGGTAGGTGGCGCCCCCTCGTGGCACTCGCCCCAGTGGTGGTGGTGGTGGTGGAGTCGCGACGTCGCTCAGGTGGGGCCTCTCCAGTCAGTCAGGTGGGGCCCCTCCAGTCAGTCAGGAGGGGCCCCTCCAATCAGTAAGGTGGGGCCCCTCCAGTCAGTCAGGTGGGGCCTCTCCAATCAGTCAGGTGGGGCCTCTCTAATCAGTCAGGTGGGGCCCCTCCAGTCAGTCAGGTGGGGCCTCTCCAATCAGTCAGGTGGGGCCCCTCCAGTCAGTCAGGTGGGGCCCCTCCAGTCAGTCAGGTGGGGCCTCTCCAATCAGTCAGGTGGGGCCCCTCCAATCAGTCAGGTGGGGCCTCTCCAATCAGTCAGGTGGGGCCTCTCCAATCAGTCAGGTGGGGCCTCTCCAATCAGTCAGGTGGGGCCTCTCTAATCAGTCAGGTGGGGCCCCTCCAGTCAGTCAGGTGGGGCCTCTCCAATCAGTCAGGTGGGGCCCCTCCAGTCAGTCAGGTGGGGCCTCTCCAATCAGTCAGGTGGGGCCTCTCCAATCAGTCAGGTGGGGCCCCTCCAGACAGTCAGGAGGGGCCTCTCCAATCAGTCAGGTGGGGCCCCTCCAGTCAGTCAGGTGGGGCCTCTCCAATCAGTCAGGTGGGGCCTCTCCAATCAGTCAGGTGGGGCCCCTCCAATATTGTATTTGTCTCGTACCTAGGCGATTATATATCGTGGCTCTTGCCTAATCATAGCGTGAAGCATTCTAATTAAAAAAAAAATCGCGTTTTAAACAAATGTTTTATTCTTTTACACTGTTGGTTGTTGTTGAAAACAAATCTCATGGTGGTTGTCAAGGGGGCCCCAACTCGTAGCTTTGGCCACCAGGGATTGGGGCACGGCACCCCCCCCCCCCCTGCCTCTGCCCCCCACGCCCGCTATGCTGCCGACACGAGAGCCATCGCCTCCATTGAGCTCCAACTCCTCATCTCACCCCTATGGCCCTGGTCCTGACGAGGCAAAAACACCCTCGGAGATTAAAATAAAGATTGACACCCACATCAGGATTCGGTGAATTGCCACGATCGCGGGTCTCTCATTGAATTATAATCAATGATCGTGTTTTGCTATTGTGTTACACGTTGAGTCTATAATAACGGCAGGGGTGTGCGTTCAGACTGACTCTTAGTTGAGCAGCAGAAGAAAATCGTAGCCTTGCCACGAGCTTCAACTTAAGAATGCTGATGGAAGCGAATGATATGGGCATGAGCTGCAGTGGAGCCAGCATTGAGTCGGGGGTGCGCACTGTAGCTAACACTTCGAAACAAATGTGTTTGCTTTTTAGGCACGGCACTGGCAGAATGCTTTAGGTTGATAGAACAGTAGATGAATTGTTACTTCATTTCGGCAATGTAACCTCGTTATCTGCTTATGTTAATGCTGTTGAAGTTCATAGGTGCATCATTCACGGTGTTGTGGGTGGTTTGAGTTGTGGCATCAGACCGTGAGACCAGAGCGGCTGTGGTGGACCCGCATACCATTCACTCCGTGGCTTTAGCTTCCTTCATCTCAAAATCTCAAAAGCAGATCCTCGGGGGGGAAGCCCCCCGTGGGTATCAGACAAACTTAGGCCGGCTGTCCATGAAAGCAATAATTAGTTGTAATTGAGGCATTAATGTATTAATAGATACAGCGTAAAAAGCGCTGAAACAACAAACATAAACCTTTGTTGATCCATTGCTGGATGAAGTGTGCGTCAGTCATGGCGTGTGTGTTTGATCTCAAGTCTCACGTGTCAGGATGGGGCAGTGAAGGGGGCAGCAGGGCGTGCTTTCATCGGGTCCGATAGCACTTACCACTTGTCTGGGAATCGAACTGAAGGTTGCCAGGTTCGTAGAGCATTCGTTTAACCACTGCGCTTCGTAGGTTGGTACAACTACGATATCTTGTTTCCATTCGCCATTAATACATTCCACAATGATCTACTTATCTTATGTTATACTTGTATTTGTAAAGCGGGCAAACACATGTTGGAGACCGCTATGAAATCCATCGATGTGCGTGATGTTCCTTGTTGTTCACTTAACATTCTCTAAATATTACGGCTGTTTGTTTTGCAGATCATTATCAGTTTGTACATTTTTTGGAATGTAGTTATTTCGTCATATACCTCTACCTTCCTTTTTAAGTTACGTAAATCTATGGTCAAGTTAAACGTGGTACTGTAAATGATTATTTTCTAATTTGGGAGTTTTTTTGCAGTCTTGGGATACGAGTTATTACCTGGGAACGCATGTTTACCGTTACTTTTTAGCATTATTTTTACCGGTTGTAAATTGGTATCATAATTTATCGACCGTATTTTTATTTTGTTTAGAAAGAATGACCAACATGGAATGTTTACAACACTGGTTTTCCAGTTATGAAAGTGAGGATAAACCCGGTATATCATGATGGCGCTTTTACAAAACAGTGGAAGTGTTTGCCACTTACAAGCCTTCGAGCCGCGTCCCGAGTCGTGACTCTGGCTCGGCTCGGGCTTGAGCCGCTCCGTTGCTTCCAAAGAAACACGGGCGGCTCGGCCGAGGGCTCGGCTCAGGCTCAGATCGTGGAAATGTTGAGCGTGGCTGGGACAACGCTCAGAGTTGGCTCAAGTTCAGGGCGTGTGGCTTTGGGGTCGGCTCACTGGTGCCGGAGCCAAGTCTGTTTGCCGAGCCACGGCTAAGAATTCGGGACCTCGTGAGTGTGGGAATAAAAAAGTGTTCTGAATCGAGGTAGGTAAATAAAAGTGCATTCATAAGGCGATGCCCTCAAGTGATCCATGACGTGATTCAATTCAGAAGGGGGGGTGTGGTCATAATGAGGGCAATGCTGCAGCATGTTGGTCGGGCAGATCTCCCAGTGAAATCTGCGCCTGATGGGTCACAGGGGAGGTCGAGGACGTTCGATGAACAATTCCCTTCGTCTGAAACCACTCCAACAGGTTTTGCCAATTCAGCGATTGTCATCAGCGGCCGAGCACGCGTGCCCTGATGACTCGGTGATGCGTGGTGAATGTAAACAAGGCAGTTGTGAGTGCATTGCACCAACAATCTGGCTGTATAGATGTATCACAGCTCAACTTAAATCACATTTTTGTCTCTCGGGTAAAAAAATAAAAATATTGTTTTGTAATTATTTTTTTTGTGAAAAAAAAAATTGTTCCTTAATTGTTATTACACGCTTATTGAACTTGCCGTGTTTATTTATCTTCTGTCGGATTTTTGACGCTTAATATCCAAGGATTTACTTTGCCTAACGAGCTGAAATTTTCTACACACGCGTATCGCGTGACATTTCAATATTTCATTTTAAAAACCTGTTAAATCCTGTGTTTTTAAACTAAAATTTAATCACTAATCCTGCGTCGTTCAAACACCCCCATTTTTGACATCTCGAATGGTCGCGCCCATCCCCGAGAAGGAACGTCTCGTCCAATCAGAGCGCGCGTTGGGGGAGCCTCTGACCAATGAGAGGCGCGCAAACATCGCCCCTCGTCATGGCGCCGGAGCTGCCAGATGTGGCTCCCAATTCGCGCGAGACCCACCGATTAGAACAATTACTACGATTGGTATAATATTTACATAATTATAATCTTAATGAGTCGTATTATCACTTGCCTTGCCACGCCTGTTCCGACGCGCGTTGGGCCACATGGTTATGCCGAAGTTGAGCGAGCAGGTGAGAACCGAGATCATCTTTTACAATTGTTTTACAATTGTAATTGCCCTAACGTCCCTATTTTGATTGATAACATTTTCTAATTACGAGTGATATAAGTGCTTTGTAATTAAATTGCTAAATCTGTGCACGCTGAATTCGCTCTCGCAATATGCGCTGTTGTCCATGTGCGTGCAGTCTGTCTTGCCGTCTTGCATACTCTATGGTACTTAATGATCGCAAATAGCTAAACGCCTTGTACGTCTCGTATTGTCTTAGATCTCATTTCACTACTTTGCAATCGGCACGATCGTAATTCCAATTGTAATAGCCGTGATGCGCGCTATCAACCTTTCATTTCGTAAACTGATGTTGTGTAGCCAATGCGCATGCTTTCATTTATTGTAAGGCCACCATGGCTATCTCTACAGGGTCATCATACACTCGGTGTACAACACAAGCTTTGCACTGCGCACACTTCTTTTTGCACTCCGAAGTACACAATACATTATTTTGACCCCAGAATGAGTCGCATTTGATGTGCTGAATGAAAGTGGGTGGCTTGCATGAAGAAAATTAAACATCGAAAGGACGCCACCCACTTTTAATCAGGACATCAAATGTGATTAATTATAGGGGTCAAAGTAATATGTTGTACTTTGGAGTGCAAATAAAAGTGTGTGCATTGAAAATTTTGTGTTTTTTTTTTTACACCATATTTTGTTAATGAAAACTACTTTTTTGTGCAAAATCATCAAAGGGGGGGGGGGGGCAGTGGTTGTGGCACTCCCCCTGACAGCAGCTGGCCTTGTGCCAACGCATGGACTAGGGCTGCTGTGGACTGCGTATCATCACGATGAGTTATCTATCTCACCTGGCTCCAAATCAAGGCCATTGATTGAGGCAGGGATGTGCTGCCCGGGCAGAGCGGTGAGACCGCTGCTGCTCCTCGTGTGCGCGCTGCGTCGTTTGTTCACGCCCGGCCTCCTGTGCAGGCAGCCTGCACGTTTACATTAAAAGCACATGACACTCAATACTGCGGTGGATAGTTTTAACGGCTTTACTGAATAAAATATGTAAAAATACTTTTTTTTAAACCACGCTTTAATGAAATGTAAGGACTTGAGAAGATTTCTCGGTATACGATATTTTGTGGAATCTCTGATCACTGTTCAAAAGGTTTCCCTGCAGTTGGCTATCCTTGATGAACACTTTGATCCGCTGAGGATATTTAGATCTCGACAGAGCCACTAACAACTGGCCATGGGAAAATACGGGTTCATTGAGATAAATATCCACATTTTCAAAAGTCTGACC